GTATTTAGAATTCAAATCAGGCAGTCATCAAGTACCAAGGAATCATTAGTTCTGCTTTTTATTGTTCAAGTTACCAGATGAATATGTATTGATATATGTAGTTATCACATGTGACTCATCCAGGATTGAGTCACCTGCAAGGCAATTAAATGGTCTTAGTTAAGTGATATGACGGATGGTTTGAAATTTTCTTTCTCTGTGGTATAGGTTAGATTGGATACTTGAACGGTACATTACATAATACAGGAGCCACATCACGTTATATCAGATACACGATTCAGTCACTTGTGTGTACATGACCCCGAACTGCTACTATAGGTCTGTGAAGATTTTCGAATCTTATATTTAACATCATAGGCTGATTTCCGCTAAACAAACAATGGAAACCAGGATTCACTGAACGCTGTGATATTATGTACCACTGTAATTACATTATATACGTTAGTTTACAGTCCAACTTTAATAAACGCTAACAAGAACACAGCGAAGTATTTCCTTGCATGTTTGAATCATCATAAAAGTAATACCTTTCATTTGTCTTTTTTCTTTCGTAAAAGTACCTAGGTGTTTTATGTTGCTTAAAGAGCGTTAATTAGTGACAAGCATCAGTAAGGAATGATAAGGACTTGATTTATAATTGAAATAGGTCGATGTAAATAGACAAAACGTTGATATGTCTACTTATTATAACCGTGGTAAAGCAACTACCTGTAACAATGGAACAAAGACTGATACAGTTCAGCGCAAGGGAAGAAAGTTAGAATGGGGATGAAGTTTTTATTGTGTACCGACAATAATTGCACAACTAATCCAGCCGGTGACCAAAACATTGTCTTAAAGAACTACTTCTATGATGTACGCCCAAAGTACGTCAGTGGTTTAGCACAGTGCTAAGATGGTATAAGTCGTATTTTGATTGGTGGATAGATCACGTGATAAAAAGCCGGACATAAAGTTATTACAGGAACAATTACTAGTTCAATACTTAAATACTTACGCCTGTTACTCCCAAAGGAGCGTAAGCCGCCGACCAGCATTCTCCAACAAACACTGTCTTGGGCCTTCTTTTCTAGTTCTATCCAATTTTTGTTCATTCTTCTCATATCGGTCTCCATTTCTCAGTGTAATGTGTTCTTTGGTCTTCTTCTTTTCGTTTGGCCTTGAAGATTCAATATGAGGGCTTGCCTTGTGACGCACTTAGGTGCTTTCCTTAATCTGTGTCCTATCCACTTCCAGCTCTTCTTCCTGATTTCTTCCTCTACTGGAATATGGTTTGTTCTCTCCCACAGTAGGTTGTTGCTGATAGTGTCTGGACAACTGATCTGAAGTATTTTGCATAGACAACTATCAATAAACATCTGTATCTTCTGGATGATGGCTTTCGTAGTTCTCCAAGTTTACGGTCCATACAATAGAGCTGTCTTGACATTTGTATTGAAAATGCTGACTTTGGTGTTGGTTGACAGACAGTTGTTTTGAGTTCCCGATGTTCTTCAGTTGTAGATATGCTGCTCTTGCTTTGCCGATCTGTTCCTTAACATCTGCATCAGATCCACCGTGTTCATCAATGATGCTGCCCAAATATGTAAAGGTTGTTGCAGCTTCCGAATCTTCTCCATCAATTGTGATTGGATTGGTGCACGTTGTGTTGTATCGGAGAATCCTGCTTTTCCCTTTGTGTATATTGAGACCTACTGCTGCTGAGGCTGCTGCTACACTGTTCGTCTTCTCCTGCACTTGTTGTTGCGTGTGTGATAGAAGAGCCAGATCATCTACGAAGTCTAGATCGTCCAACTGCATCCTAGATGTTCACTGTATCCCGTGTTTCCCTTCAGATGTTGACGTCTTCATGATACAGTCGATCACCAAGAGAAAGAGAAAGGGTGAGAGTAAGCAACCTTGCCTGACACCGGTCTTTGCTCCAAACGAGTCTGTGAGCTGTCCTCCATTCATGGCTTTGCAGTTTGATCCATCATAGGAATTCTGTATGATGTTGACTATCTTCTGAGGCACGCCATAGTGTCGAAGAAGCTTCCATAGTTTTGTTCTGTCCATGCTATCAAATGCCTTCTCGTAATCAATGAAGTTGATGTCGAGTAATGAATTCTATTCAGTTGATTGTTCCATAATGGTCCGTAGAGTTGCGATTTGGTCTGTACACGATCTATTCTCACGGAATCCTATCTGTTGGTCTCGAAGTTGGGCGTCTACGGAGTCCTTCATTCTGTTTAACAACACCCTGTTGAAGACTTTTCTTAGTATTGAGAGAAGATTGATGCCTCTGTAGTTCTCACACTTCCTGAGATCGCCTTTCTTTGATATATTGATCAGGTTTCCTTTTTTTCCAGTCCGTTGGTGCTTGTTCTTCATCCTAAATTTTGCTGAATAGAATGTGGAGTCCCTCCGTGGGCTACTGCCGGTCCCAAGCCCGGATAAAGGAGGAGGGTTGGGTATGGGGTTAGCGACCTCTTCGCGTAGAAAACTAACTTGCTGAAAAACACTAACCGGAAAAATCATTCAAACTAGTTCGATACAGCAGCATTTAACTAACTGTGGACACATCGCTTCAAAGGACTCTTCTCTTAAAGTAATCTACAGAGTTAAAGGAACTGGATCGAATCAATACTCTATGCACTGCTGACGCATTGGCAGTCCACGAACTAAAGCGTGAACCTTGCGTGCAGTAATGATTTGCCCACCCTTTCACCCTTCCTTGGCCATAATTCCCTTAATGGGTATGTTCCTGTTTTTTCTTCTGCACATTTATTTGATTGTTATCGAATTCCTTAAATTACTGTTTTGCATTTTCAGTTATTGTTATTATTACCTTATGCAAGTTTCGTTGATTATTCAGTCTATTATTATGACCTTTGTGGTCGTCGCTTTTCTCCATATCTGTCAATTGCAATATTATCTGACCCATAAATTATTTTCATCCTTACCCCTTGATTATTACGCAACCTCATTTATTATTTATTCTCGAATCCGTTTTTGTGATGCAATCTTTTCTATCCTCCTATAGACATATATTTTCCATATAAGTATATATACGAATGTACAGCTTAAGTAAATGATTTCACCGACAAAATTTTCTTCGCTGAATTCTTTTTATTACTCGAATGACACTATGGGTTATTTTAATTATCTGAAAAGTTCAATACATTGGGATGGGGAGTACTTAACATTAATTAATCAATAACTTGATGGATGGACACAATTTACAACATCTAAAAGTTAAGATACTACTTTTCACCGATGAATACAATTAAGTTATGGATTTACATATTGACTCTTACCTAAGATTAACAGTCACTGATTATATATCATGAAACTATTTTACTAACTGTTAGCGGGACATGGACTGGATTAAAGCATGCTCAATTGCTTTGGTGCACACTGATTGGTCAATTATTATCCAATCATCACGAGACGATAGTTGGAGAATACTCCAGAATCTTCTCATGTAAAAGCTATAAATGTAATAACGTTTTCTCTATTGTGCTACTTATTTGCATCTTACTTCTATCTAACCTTGTTATTTGGAATATAATCTCTTTCCTGTTCAACCGTGTTCTGATCTGGGGACTGTCGAGTGAATCGGTGTCCGAGAATACTAAGCAACAGTAATAGCTGGGTCATAACCGTAAGAAAGCGATTATAACAGTGGCGACGGCGAAAAAGGAAAGAACAATGGCGATTTCTTTAGAACAGTTGCGGTTAATATTACAGCACCAGCAGGTGTTAGCTTTCAACAACAACTATTGAGCACACTTTTCACTCGGTCAGAAAATAAGAAATCTATTTATGATGCAGTACCAGACATTTCAGAAGCATATCTAGTGGAGGGTTCATATCCCTTTATACCTGAATCAGAACGTAATATTTGTGACGTGTCCGGCTCACAGCAAGAAAATACTGTGCTAAATGCTCATAAAGTTGTGACAATACGAGATGATCAAAAGTCAGACCCTGTAGATGAAGCCAGGAGTCCAGAATTGAATAAAACACTACTGGTCCTGTCTAGCTCTGAAAATAAATTTCAGCTAGAACAAAATTATGGTCCACGTGATATTAGCCGAGGAAGCTATGGGGGCTCGTATTCAGAAAATAACTGCAGTGACACGATGAACCCAATTATACCGAATGTTACTCAGAATCATTGAGACAGAAATTCATATTGAATCTGCTTATCCGATTTCTAATGACAATGTACGAGATACGGGTTCTCAGAATAATGAATGTAATTTGGATGAAATTTCTTATAAAAATGAGGGAAATATGTCGGCTGAGTCAAAAGTCTAATTTAATTTTGTTAAATGTTGATTTCCGTAATGATCCATTATCCACTGATGAAATTCCTAATGGATTTGAAATGCTTCAGAAGAACCAAACTCTGACCTCAAATCAAAGGTCGTTCATTATCATCTAGTCATTTTTAGTGGATCCGACATTCAATGCGAGAAACATGGTTTATATAAAGTCTTATTATTTGTAACTTGGAGATATAAGGATCCGACATTGTTTCGCGGGGGAGGAGAATTAAAAGTTATGCATACTTTTAAAAAGAATCAAAACACTGGGAACAGACACGTCAGTCTCTGCGCAAGAAAAAAGTGATAATTCTTTATTGCCTAGACGATGGACTAATCGAAATCACAAGCCAGTCACTCAGTTGCAGTTGGACCCTGGCACTAGATCCTACGAATCTGCTCAAAGGGGAGGTGCTAGCGAGACATAGACTGGATTAAAGCACACTCAATGCATGATTGCTTTGGTGCACGCTGAATGGTCAATTCTTATTCAGTCAGCACTAGATGATAGTTGGAGAATACTCTAGAATCTTCTACTTACTTGCATCTTACTTCCATCTAACCTTGTTATTTGGAATATAATCTCTTTCCTGTTCAACCGTGTTCTGATTTGGGGACTTGTCGAGTGACTTGGTGTCCAAGAACATTAAGCGATAGGAATAGCTGGGCCATACCGTAAGAAAGAGATTATAACACTAACGATAATTATATTCCAATTAGAAGTGGATTTGATACAGAGATAGAAAGGAAAAAATACATCCACAGCTTAATATAAAGGTACAAATATTAATTGGAAACTTGAAAAATGGTAGTAAAAAAGCTTTTTAAAAGTAGAAAAACACATACCCAGGGTACATATCTTAAGAACAATTTTTTGGTAAGATATTACATAAGTGTATGTAGGAGGGGTTGAACACAATATCACAAAGTAAAAAAAGAGAAGTCGACAATTACTATCTGATATCTGTGCACTTTTCGAAGTGGAAGGGGTGAAATGTCTTTTTTTCTCTCTTCCAACTGTAATATAATAAACCGAATACAGAGGAGGAAACAAAACACCGAATGTAATTTAATTGTTACTATTATTGTTTTTATTGATATAAAGATGTGAGCATAAGAAAAAATGGGATTACCAACGATTGATACCAAAAAAACGAACCCTATAAAATTGAGGCAACTTAGGAAGTACGGCTAGAACAATCATTGACGATGCGTTGATAAAACAATGAAGAGGGTCGTATTCTGTGTAGAAACTTGCAAGTAAGAATCTACAAATAAGAATTGCAAAAAAAGCAGACTTAAAAGCAAATGAGAGGGTCACTTTGAAAAAATACGTTTATACATAAAACTGAGCTATGTGTTTGACCGATAAAATTCAGACACATTCTGATAGTGATTACCATTTAATGTGCGATCCACATACAAGAATTAGTGTAGTTCAATTTTAAAGCACACTTTTCACGTGTGCACACATAAAGACTGTTAATAATATCTACCAGCTTGTTTCAGTTAAAGTAGGCGGGTAGATGGGGAGAGTCAGTCAGCCATAACGATTGACTGACTGAGAGAGTTGGACGTGGTTGACAGTTGAACTATTCGATCATTAGCATATAGTTTAAACAGGCGGCCAGTCAGGTTATATCTGTGAAATGAGTTATTTTTATGTTAAAAAAGAACCTTGCTATTTTAGAATTTTACATTGACGATGATGATTTATAGAACAAACAAATGTCATTTATTGGTCTTTATACGTTTTCTTTAAAAAAAAAGATTTAATCTTCTATTGAAGCATAGTTTTAATGTGTTGTTCACCTCACAAAATAACATTGCCAAAATAGTGAACAGTTTAACCTTTACAATATATAATAATGGTAATAATAACAGACAAATACAAAAACTAGTCTGGATATACATTATAGTATTTTTACAAAAATGACCTCTTGAGAATAAAATGTGAGTGAGTGAACACTACTACTGTCCTACTAGTTAGTAAGTATAGTAAATCAATGAATTAAGAGGGAGTATTGAAGGTGCTTAAGTGTATTTGTTAGATAAGTTTCATAACCAAATCACCCAGATAATTGTGTTAACACAGTCACCATTGACCTTATTTGATTGAAATTTGTTGTTTGCGATTTTTTTTATTGTATAGACTAGCAATCGATAAGATATTATCTATCTGTCTATCTAGTATAAGTGTAACTGTGTCACTCGTATTTTATATTTTGTGTAATAACTGTTTGGTGTAGGCGTGAATGTTCTTTTCGAGATGACTTTGATCATTTTCGATTAATGTGCTATTCGCGTTAAAAACAGACAAACACTGGAAAAAAAACCCGAAGTTCTCATTTGTCTAAAATGTAGCTACTGGATAGTCTGGATTGATAGTAATCTATAAGTAGAGCCCATATTCAGATATTTGTAGGTAAACCAAGTTCTAAACAGTTAAAAAAGTTGGTTTGAAAGACAATGCCTACTTTGAAATAGCTGATTTTTCACCTAACAAAAATGACATTGATCACTACCCAGTGATCAATCAGTTGTAAATACATCTCAGTCCTACAGGTCAGTTGCGGCCCAGATAACCCAGTGGTAACGTCTCTGACTGTGAAGCTGGGTGACACGGGACCGAATCCGCCAGGGAGCACCAGTTCCCTCAGGATTACAGGTACACCTTGCTGATGAGTGTCAAGTGGCATGAAACCCAGGTCCAGGGTTTCCTGTCGACTACTTCCTTCCACCATCATATGAAGGGAAAATGTTTAAGTGACTGAGAAAATGTAATTTATTAATTATTTACATGAAGGCATTAAAACTTTACATACATATATAAACGGTTCACATAAAACATATTAAGAGTTGGATATTTAATGCAAACGAATTTTATCAGTAATGAATCTGTATGTACTTGTTAGAAAAAAGTTTGTTAAGGTCAGTGTTTATTTTGCTTCTTGAAAATTACTTAAGTTGTTTTATACTCTCTCTCTCTCTCACTTGCTTCACTAAATAGAAGATATTCCAATAACCTGTATAGATTTTTCTCTTTTACGGACCTATATGCAGGTTAAACAGATCGTGTGAATTAATGGTAATCTTTATTTACGACTTTATTTTTAAATCTGTATTTACATAGGTGATGGTGGAGCAAGTCCTATTCTTCTCTTTGTTGTTATCATATTTTCTCTCCAGGCTTGAGATATTCTGTGACTCATTGTGCCCGGTGATCGTTGTCTCCGAAGGATTGCTAGTAACCATGGTATACTATGTCAGTAATACCCCGGTCCGCTATGTGTATTCAGAGATGTTGACAATTTATTAGCGTCACTATCTTAAAAGACTGACTTCAATGACCTGATTATTGTTTACGAATGTTATCCTAACAACAGTCGAAACATAACAGTTTCTAAGCAAATTTTTAGGCAAAACCTATTGTACATTTCATATACGTTTACAATTACCGACTACTTAAGAGAAGGACGGTCAACATTTCATGATAACTCCTACTGAACGCACAAATGTCGAAAATTTATCCTCTTGATTTGTATAACCGGCTGATATCTTCAGAAGTTAAATTATGTCTAAGAATTTATGTAGCATAAATTTAATGTAGCTCAATATCCAGTTACAAGTTCGTGTGTTTAACATTGGGTTACACTATCTAGCAGTCCAGAGTGAAGTAGGCACATTAGTGCTTTGTCTTTTATGACGTTTCTGAACGTCGAGTGCTCCAACCAATAAGTCACATGCTTTGCGCACAAGCTAAGTAAGACTTATGATATGATGCATGATTTCGAACAGGATCACTGATTCGCATTTTTAAAAACAAACTTTTTGAAAAAAATTTTAAAACTAAATATTGAGCTGCAATAATATTTAATGACAAAAACAACCAGTGAAATTTACTTTCTTACGTTACTCCGTAACGTAACTCCGTCTGGAGCTCTTCTTGGGCTACTGCCGGTACCAAGCCCGGATAAAGAAGGAGGGTTGGGGATGGGGTTAGTGACCTCAGCCCGTAAAAAGCTAACTCAATAAAAAAACGCTAACCAGAAAAATAATTCAAACCATTTAAACTCTGCCCTGGGAGTTAGAAGGTCTTCATTTAGAAGAGTTATGATGCCTCATAGTGAAAGCTGAGTTCCCTCGGAAGTCACGAGGCTGATGCCTCTCCTAACAACCAGAGCAATCATTTATTTAGGTACATGGAATGCTCGTACAATGTGGGAAACGGGAGTCTTCCAAATCGCTGCAGTAATAAAGAGATACAACCTAGAGGTGTTTGGAATCAGTCAAACATATTGGGCGCAAGTTGGACTACAACGACTAGCTTCAGGGGAACTTCTATTTTTCTCCGGCCATGAAGAAGAAAATGTCCCACATACACAAGGAGTTGCATTGATGCTATCCAAACAAGCACAACATGCACTTATAAGATGGGAATCTCATGGACCAAGGACCATCAAAGTCTCCTTCAAAACAAAGAAAGAGGACACTACAATGAACGTCATCCAATGCTATGCGCCTACCAGCGACTACAATGAAGACGTTAAGGATCAATTCTACGATAGGCTGCAGTCAATCGTCGAGAAGTGCCCAACAAAGGACTTGATCATTCTGATGGGAGATTTCAATGCCAAGGCTGAAATGGACAACACCGGATATGAAGACGTCATGGGACGACGTGGACTAGGAGAAAGAAACAGAAATGGTGAGAGATTTGCAAACCTATGTGCCTTCAATAAACTGGTCATAGATGACACTATATTCCCACATAAACGTATACACAAAGCCACATGGACTTCATCGGATCACACCACGCAAAACCAAATCGACCATATTTGCATCAACAAAAAGTTCAGGAGGACGATGGAGGATGTGAGAACCAAGAGAGGAGCTGATATAGCATCAGATCATCACTTGCTGGTCGCCAAGATGGAACTGAAACTTAAGAATTACTGGACAATGGGGCGGACAACATCACAAAAGCTTAATACGGCTTTTCTTCGGGATACTGACAAGCTCAACAAATTCAAGATAGCCCTTAACAATAAGTTCCAGGCCTTTCATGATCTACTCAATGAAGAGGGAACTACTATGAAGAGCTACTGGAAGGGGATCAAAGAGGCAATCACTTCAACATGTCATGAGGTCCTGGGTCACAAGAAGCATTATCACAAGGAATGGATCACTGTTGGTACACTGGATAAGATTCAAGAAAGAAGGAACACGAAGGCAGAAATCAATATCAGCCGACCAAGAGCAGAAAAAGCCAAGGCACAAGCTGAATACACGAAAGTAAACAAGCAAATGCAGAGGAGCATCAGAACCGATAAACATAAATATGTAGAAGATCTAGCAATGACGGCGGAAAAGGCTGCAAGAGAAGGAAACATGAGGCAATTGCATGATACAACAAAGGAGCTCGCTGGATAGCAAGGAAGGCGAAGTAATCACCAATATTTAAGAACAGCGAAACAGGTGGATGGAACACTTCAAAGAACTCTTCAATCGATCAGCTTCACTGAACCTACCCAACATAGAAGCAGCGCCCACGGACCTACCAATCAACGTTGGCCCACCAACAACTGAATAGATCAACATGACCATCATACAAATCAATAGCGGTGAAGCAGCAGGACCAGACAACGTTCCAGCGGAGGCACTGAAAGCAGACGTAGCAGTAACTGCAAAGATACTCCACATTCTCCTCAGCAAAATTTGGGATGAAGAACAAGTACCAACGGACTAGAAAGAAGGAAACCTGATCAATATATCAAAGAAAGGCGATCTCAGGAAGTGTGAGAACTACAGAGGCATCAATCTTCTCTCAATACCACGAAAAATCTTCAACAGGGTGTTGTTAAACAGAATGAAGGACTCCGTAGACGCCCAACTTCGAGACCAACAGATAGGATTCCGTGAGAGTAGATCGTGCACAGACCAAATCGCAACACTACGGACCATTATGGAACAATCAACTGAATAGAATTCATTACTCGACATCAACTTCATTGACTACGAGAAGGCATTTGATAGCATGGACAGAACAACACTATGGAAGCTTCTTCGACACTATGGCGTGCCTCAGAAGATAGTCAACATCATACAGAATTCCTATGATGGATCAAACTGCAAAGCCATGCATGGAGGACAGCTCACAGACTCGTTTGGAGCAAAGACCGGTGTCAGGCAAGGTTGCTTACTCTCACCCTTTCTCTGTCTCCTGGTGATTGACTGGATCATGAAGACGTCAACATCTGAAGGGAAACACAGGATACAGTGGACATCTAGGATGCAGTTGGACGATCTAGACTTCGTAGATGATCTGGCTCTTCTACCACACACGCAGCAACAAATGTAGGAGAAGATGACCAGTGTAGCAGCAGCCTCAGCAGCAATAGGTCTCAACATTCATAAATGGAAGAGCAAGATTCTCCGATACAGCACAGCATGCAACAATAGAATCACATTTGACGTAGAAGCTTTGGAGGATGCAATAACCTTTACATATTTGGGCAGCATCATTGATGAACACGGTGGATCTGATGCAGATGTGAAGGAACAGATCGGCAAAGCAAGAGCAGTATATCTACAACTGAAGAACATCGGGAACTCAAAACAACTGTCTGTCAACCAACACCAAAGTCAGCATTTTCAATACAAATGTCAAGACAGCTCTATTGTATGGACCGTAAACTTGGAGAACTACGAAAGCCATCATCCAGAAGATACAGATGTTTATTAATAGTTGTCTATGCAAAATACTTCAGATCAGTTGTCCAGACACTATCAGCAACAACCTACTGTGTGAGAGAACAAACCATATTCCAGTAGAGGAAGAAGAGCTGGAAGTGGATAGGACACATATTAAGGAAAGCACCTAAGTGTGTCACAAGGCAAGCCCTCACATGGAATCCTCAAGGTCAAAGGAAAAGAGGAAGAGCAAAGAACACAATACGTCGAGAAATGGAGACCGATATGAGAAGAATGAACAAAAATTGGATAGAACTAGAAAAGAAGGCCCAAGACAGAGTGGGTTGGAGAATGTTGATCGGCGGCCTATGCTCCAATGGGAGTAACAGGCTTAAGTAACGTTACTCAAAAGTTTCATGAAGGATAACTCAAAGGAATAAACTAACCATAGTACGGATATATTTATATATAACAAGGTTAATACTTTGAAAGGTAATGATTAAATAAAACACTAGTTCTCGAGTTCACAGAACGATTAGAACGCTAAAAGTCCTATTTAATTTTAATACTAGCCATAGCTCGACACATTATTGTTAGATCAAACTTATTCAGCAAACTCAGGTCTCTGTATCTGGCTTTGTAACATACTGCGAATGTGAGTTGTATTATTCAATTAGCAAAAGTGAGATGGATGATGAAAAGGGGTTCGAATATGTGACCTGCTTAATGGTTGAAAGAAACTCTTGAATAGGCCATTAAATCCACCGGAAATCGAAGCAGCACCTACAAACTTTCTGATAGATGTCACTCCAACGACCGAAGAAAACAGGATGGCCATCAGAAAAATCAACAGTGGAAAAGCAGCAGGACCTAACAATATACTACATGAAGCACTGAAGTCAGAAATTCAAGCAACTACAAACATGCTCCACGTTTTATTTAGGGAGATTTGGGAGGAAGAACAAGTGCCACAAACAGACTGGAAAGAAACATATTTCATCAAGATACCAAAGAAAGGAGATCTGAGCAAATGTGAGAACTACAGAAGCGTCACATGACTATCGATGACAGGAAGTTTTCAATAGTGTTGTTGAACCGGATGAAAGATTCAGTGGACGTCCGGTTTCGACATCAATAGGCTGGATTTCGTAAGGATCGGTCATACACAGAACGATTCGTGACACCACGGATTATTGTTGAGCAATCAATCGAATGAAATTAGTCATTATACATCAACTTCATTGACTATGAGGTGTTTGACAGTGTGGATATGAGGACCTTATAGAGCCTTCTTCGACACTGTGAGGTTACTGAGAAGATCGTCAACATCATTTGTAATTCATACGACGGACTACACTGCAAATTGGTGCACGGAGGACAGCTGACAGATGCATCCCAAGTGAGGACCGGAGTCAGACAAAGCTGCATATTCTTCTCCTTCTTCTTTCTTCAGATGATCAACTGGATTATGAAAACCTCTACATCTGAGGAAAAGTACTGAACACAATGGATAGCTTGAATGAAACTAGACTATTTGGACTTCGCAGATGACATCAACGAATGCAGGTCAAGACAACCAGTGTAGCAGAAACTTCTACCTCTTCAGCAGTAGGCCTCAATATACACAAGGGAGAAAGCAGAATCCTTAAATACAACACAGAGAACACCAACCCAATCACACATGATGGAAACTTTCATGTACCTGGTTAGCATCATCTATGCAGACGCAAACGTGAGGGTTGGTAAAGTTAGGGCAGCATTTCTACAGTTGAAGAACGTATGGAACTCGAAACAACTGTTTGTCAACCAATATCAAAATCTCTAATATGAATGTGAAGACAGTTCTACTGTATGGAGCTGAAACTTGGAGAACTACCACAACCATAATCGAAAATGTACAAGTATTTAAAAACGATTATCTACACAAGATATTGAATATCCGATGGCCGGAAACCATCAGTAACAGCCTACTGTGAGAGAGAACAAACCAACTTCCAGTTGAAGACGAAATTAAGAGAAGACGTTGGAAGTGGATAGGACATACATCGAGGAAATCATCAAACCGAATCACAAGGCAAGAGCTAATTTGGAATCCTGAAGGGAATCGGAAAAGAGGAAGACCTAAGAACACATTACATCGGGATTCGGAAACAAACATGAAAAGGATGAAGAGCAACTGTAAAGGATTGCCTAGGAATGAATTCGATGGAGAATACTGGTGAGCGGCTTATGTTCCTCCACAATAAGTAACAGGCGTAATTTAGTGGTTAAGAGTTAAGTGCTTCAAATACAAAGTCACAGGATAACAGAAATTAACATCCAAGATAAAAATTAGTGACCACAAATAAATTTTGTCGTCTAAGTTTACAAATGAACCTTGATAACACATATGAAAAGGAATAAAAGAACTGGGTAATGACTATGTATAAGTCGTGAATATCACGATGGTCTATAATTTTACGACTGGTAGAAATCAGTTTGCGGGAATCTGAGTGATATCATGTTGCGTCTATTCACTCCATCTATATGTAACAATCCAATAGCATAGTATTGTTCTCACCACTGTTTCTCATTTTATCAATTTCTACGCGTGATGTGTTAAATTGAACCAATACAAATCCGTGTCAGCTGCTATGTTGTGTGTAATAAACTAATATTTTGTCGCCTCTGCTTTAACAAAATTTAAAGTGAAATTTATCAACAACAAAAAAGGTCTCAGCTACTATTGGTATGAAGAAATAAGCAGAATTACATGGGGACGTTGTAACTGGGACTTACAAAACAATCGGGACAACTAAGAGGAATTTCTTCGTCGGTGAAAATTGCTCACCATCGTCAAACTGCTCCCATTGAGTGAGAACACGAGATTCTCCTTGATCTAATGTTTCATACGGACTTCCTTTCTCCCAGTGTAACAAGCGATACATAACCTGAGAATAAAGTTATATGAAGTAAATACATTTATAGGATACGGCAAGATTGGAATAACATTGACTCAGATATAATTTGAAAATATTCTAGCAGATATCACGATTGGCGTCGAGACAAAACTTGAAGAGTCAGTCAGTCAGGAACAACGTAGAACCTCGTACGTACGTACATCAGTTCGAGTTGAAGAAGATTAAGATTACACATTTTTAGGCAACAGAACAAATGTTCTACTGAGTAAACTACGGAAAAGGACCTCTGAAACATATGAATAATCCCACATTTATCATTGACATGAAAGCTATCACTTTATTTATTTATTTGAACACATAAATATTGGTATAAAGGGGCACTAAATACATATGTCCCACACAAGTCACTTGATTTATGAGTGGGTTGTGATACTGCCCGGGTGCTCAGACCGAAGCAAGTGATTTTCGTAGGAGGCCACACCCGGAGCTTTCGACCTAAATGTTTGGTTCACAAAACAGTCGAGCAACGTAAGGAGATGCAGTCCCATGATATCCGGTGACCAATAATTGGTTTGTATGCCATTTGTTCCTTCAGGATCCTGGAGCCCATGTGCACCATTGGTTTGGAATCAGGGTTTTCCAACTCCCCTAGGCGGACCCTCCGTGTCCACTACTTGGTGATTAAGATATGTTAAGTATTCATGTCTGAATAATAGGTCCCAAATGTTTATTGGTGACCTAGACGGATATTTGTGTTGAGCTGATACTTCGCAACTCCAACTCTAATAGGGTGAACAAGACTACTGTTATCGTTTTCTTCACTACCATGTTAGCTACAGTGAAAATTCCAGTTGTTGTACAAAACGTTTATTGATATGAACCTAGTAGAATTCAAAATATATTTAAGATAATTGGTTATATACTGATTACAATGATCATAGCTTATGAACTGTGCAATTGTCAACGAACAAAAGTCATGAGGGAAAATGGACTGAGTACCCATAAGCACAATTCATGCTGAGAAAAATTAGTGTAACAAAAGTTCATCTGAAATCACTATTGATATTCTTCTTACTAAGTTGTATGTAAGAATCCCACACAGCCCCACCCCCGAAAATGGATTTCTTCATTTAATGGGTAAGAGCTAGGTAAAATATGCAAAATATTGAAGGGAAATAACTACGTACAAAGCATAAAGGTTTTGTAGTCAGTGTCCATTTGAACATCATGTGGTTTTTGATCAAAGGTTCTTAACTACTTCAGAGCAGTTCGAAAGATTTCAATCACTAGTTATTAAGATATGTAGGTAGTGGGGAATCCATTACAAAATGCAAGTTTTTAGTGACTAAAGAGAGGTGACTATTTCTCAATGTAAAAGGGATTGAGAAACGGAAATTCTACCGACATATTTTGACGTATATAAATCTCTCCACTGTTGGTAGGAGGAATATTGCAAAAGGAACTTCAGACAAACTGAAGTAGTTTGGGATTTGGTATTTAAGAGAATGTTATTTTGACTCCGTTTGTCTGTCGAAAAAGTCAGTTGGAAAATGATAAGGTTATGAGCAGTTAAAGTATGTAAATAATCAAGAGCTTTAGTTACCACAGCTGCACAGGAACTTGAACAATAGTAAAGTGACGAAAACACTCAACAATCTTGTCTTGTAACTGCTGAAATGAGATATTTAGAAAGGTTTTAAAGAGGCACATCCTTACATAAAATTGGAGTTTACCGATGAAGTCGGGTTATAATAATCCCGATTCATCTGTTAATCCAGCGGATAGCATGGGTTTTAAGGTGGACTCAGTGAAATAAAACGGCCTTGAGAAACCATGGCTTGATCAAATCACTCAACTTTTAACGAATAAATTGTATTTTGGGCTTTCCGTTCACTACTGCGTTTCGCGTAGCCCAGAAGTATCACTAGCTAAAATGTATGAGGCTTGAAGCCCATTATGTAAATCTGAACTATGTGATGAAGTACAAAAATTGTACTCACAAGATAGTAACGTAGAGATGCACACTCGGTAGTTGTAGTGATTACTTTGGTACCAATAGTAAACGATAACTAAGAGATATTAAGGGTATTGCGAGGATGTGTAAACGAAACAATACTTCAGTGGATTTCGAAAAAAAAGTGATAGACGTAATTTTATCAGTATCAGAAATACTAGTACTTGAGTTTCACACTAAGCAACTAGGACTGTAAAATACTAGTGTGATATGTATTTCAACCAGAAGTATAGTCAGTAATTTCAAATGAACTATAAAGAATCTACAAGTTAAAGGGTTCGATAAATACAATTAGTATCCATGAATGAAGTAAAAATGAGTGTACAATTATATACGACGCACGGCAAAGTACCATGAAAGCTTTCATGATTTACGACTAATACTGAATAATAACACATTAAAAATAGTTAGTGGTTTTAATATTAATATTCGACCAATTACGCCTTAAATTGTTTTGTGATAATGATAAAGAACTCTTAGTTGTGTATGGAACCATAAATAAAAGTCATAGCGCATAAACTAACTCTAGATAAAAGGTAATTACAAATGATAAGAACATACAACATTGTGAAAAGTACAAGTCAACGTCCAAACAACAGCGGTAGTGAAGAGTGGGACGCATAGTAAGATGAAGTGCACTACCAGAATCACCAAAATATACGTGACCCATGTCCCCTGACTATTCAAATATTCCGAAGTAGGATTTAGAACCGACGTTGCAGTCCCAACTTGCATCTCATAGAGTTGAACTTTGCGGCAGCCTTGGAAGGACACATGAACCGTTTTCTTTTAAGCAATATCTTAGTAACGAGCTAGTGCAAAGCAGTTAATTTCGTAGAGTTCACTTATTAATGCAAGGAAGTGTTTCTAAATTCTTTGGTTACTACCAGTCATATTTTCACGTTACTTGACCACATTAATTCGTCAAGCCAATACTTAAGTTTCTCAACTGCGAAGTTTTAACGGCCCGACCAACAGCGACGGCGACGCCGCTAACCTTTTGGCTGAACAATACTCTCAGCCATTTCAACCGACCGACACTAACTTTACTGATGACAGTTTCGTTTGCAATTCCACAGGACTTTCCGAAATGAATCTAAGCGCTGACTTCGTGTTCCGGAAACTGCAGCACTTAAGAATAGACACTTCTCCTGGCCCGAATATGGTTCATTCTGCCACACTGAAGGAAGGAGCCTCAATCCTGGAAACGCCGCTCAGCGTGATATTCTCACACTCGCTAATCCGAGGAAAACTACAGGAAAATTGGAAGCTGGCTCACAACACATCAATTTTCAAAGGAGGTCGACGCAGCGAACCTTCAAGTTACCGATCGGCGGCTCTTCTCTCAATACCTTCAAAAATCATGAAGTCCCTGAAATGCGATGGTATAAATAACTGTTTACTGTCCTTAAGATTCTTCTCAACTCAACAGCATGGTTTCAGGAAGGGTTACTCTTGTATTACCAACCTGCTGACTGCGGTGGACAGGTGGACCAGCATCCTCGATCGCAAGGGGAGGGCTGATATCATCTACCCAGATTTCTCAAGAGCTTTTGATAAGGTTAACCATATATATCTTATCAATCAGCTCAAGCGTTTGGGTATCAGACCATCTCTAATCGATTGGCTCACTTCATACCTGAAAAATCGACATTTTAAGGTCAGGGTTAATTTCACTTCATCTCAGGCTGTGGGATGTTCTGGTGGGGTCCCCCAGGGCTCAGTACTACGACCTCTTATCTTCTTTATCTACATAAATGATCTTCCTCAACAGGTAACGTCAGACTTATTACTTTTTGCCGATGACGTGAAACTTTGGAGAGAGATATGCAACCAAGACGATATACAGGCACTTCAGGAGGATCTGACTCGACTTCAGAGTTGGGCAAACGATAACGGACTTACCTCTAACACTTCAGAGTGTAAAGTAGTCCATCTGCGACATGTCGCAGACTACAGTTACAACTTAGGAAACAACTCTCTATTAGTATCCCAAGTCGAAAAAGATTTAGGAGTCCTGGTGCCCTACGATTTAAAATCCTACTGTAACTGTGACAAAAATGCCTTCCGAGCAAACCATGCACTGGTAACATTGAAGCGCATTTTTGGCCAGTTTGACGGAAGAACTTTCCATATAATCTTCAACAGTTTTATCCGTCCCCATTTAGAGTATGGAAACATAGTATTTCCTCCCTCACTCCAAAAAGATAGGGACACTCTGGAGCATATCTGACGGCGAGCCACAAAATCAGTTTGGGGACTCAAATTCAAACCTTATGAAGAGCGCTTCAAATCACTCAGCCTTTTCCCATTAGAGAATAGGCGTCTTAGAAGTGACTTTCTAATGGCTTGACACTTCTGGACGTCTTCTTAAACACCTACTCAAGTTTAGCTCTGACACAAACCTAAGGGGTACCACACGGAAATTGGAGATACAACATAGCAGAACGGAATGTAGACACGACTTTTACTCCTTAAGACTAGTCAAATGCTGGAATTCGCTGCCGGTCGAGCTAGTCCAAGAGACTTCCCAGGAGTCCTTTAAGAGGAAACTTAGTCTATTCTTAAGGATTAAGGATAGTATCACACTATGATTTACGAATTTCTTTTTCCTCTTTTATTGTTAACATACCTAGGTTCCTGCATGGAGGTTTCGGTGATCCCCTGCTACTAGACATGGAAGCCTGTTGAGTAAAAGCTTCTTCTATTCCGTCCACAACCATTTGAACCATTTAAGTGGTTCAAATTCAGTATCTTTGTCGCGAGCTTGTATAAACGGATTCATTTTTTGCACTCGCTTCTCGTTTTTTCTGTAAGGTTTGGGATATTTGGCAATAGGTTGAAATGGGATAGGAAACCTTCTGTCTGACGAGCTCCTATATTTAGTAGCAATAAGTAGTTGACACCTCCGGTTAGTTGTCTAGGTGTATTAAATAGGTTGAACTAAAATGAGTGTTGGACCAGTGAAGTGTCACTTGACCCTTGTAAAATCATTCTGCAGTTGAATCATTCAATATCAAACAGTTTGTTGACTCGCGACTAGGTTATGTACAATCAACACATATCAATCATTTTCACTCCATGGACTTATTATTGTTGCGGTGGTCGCTCCCTGATCCTTGTGCTTAATCTTGATAAGACATTTATGTAATTATGGTTTTTGTGCTTTATGTTTATCGAGGTAGCCAAAGAATCTGGATATAATGTAAGGGTAATCCATGTCATATATTGAACGTGAGGCGTGTTTTGGAGATAGGTCAGAAGGTCACACCATTCCCGTCCAAATCAAGTAGTCACGCAATCTTCGGCACTGATCACCCATGTTGATGATCTACAGAGGTACAAAAGGACTAACGCAACTATCTGCTATGAGTCTATAGAGATATGTCAACTTCTGAAGATTTCAAGAAATTTATTTTGGTATGGTATTTGACGCAGATATTAAATGAAAGTAATTGCACATTCTTTTAAGAACACGATTCACTGAGGCTGTTTTGGGTATTAAGACGACAAGGATTACCAACAAAAATGGCAACAACTCAGGTTAGAACTTCTATGGATAAGGCACATTAAATCAAACCTTATCTTTATCTGCCGGCCTTTATGTTGTATTTCTCACCCTTCGGCATCCACCCCCTGATCCTCTATCGTACCATCCCATAACCTACTCATTAAATAAACGCCGTGCCGATTCTGAGAACCTACATGAACTCACACCAGAAATTCTCAATTATTCACTATTCAACCATTGGGAAAAGACTCCCAGTAAACCTCCGTTGCGGTGAGACTATCCCTGTTCAGGTGTCTCTTTGATGAAGTTTTTTCCGACAGTGGTGTCATCTAGTAAATACTGGTGTGACTACTAATGATTTATGCAAACAAAGTCCAATATCTATCTAATTAGCCACAAAGCAAAGTGGACTCTTCGGAAATCTGCTCGTTTACTCCATTGTATTCTTTCTTTTCATCTAAATATCCAAAGTCTGCTAATGTTCATATTTACGATTATTGTTGTTATTATTATCAGAATTGATCCTCTAACACAATAAATATTCTTTTTTTCCCTTCTTTTTCTTACCACTCCCTCTTGTCTTGCTAAACAAATTTAGCTCATAAACATCCAAAGTTTATGACTAAAAACATATTATTTTGTGTTACACCTAAATAAATTAGCTTTCCAGATTCATTTTATCTTCATCATGCATATATGATCCATGCAAACCAAAATGTTTACTACAGTAATGATTCGTTTTCCTATTTATTTATTTATTTCTCCTTTTTTATTAGTTTAGTAGTTTACACATCATTGTTTATTCTTATTCTGTTTTTACAAACATTCTTATGAAGTTATATACATATTTCACGTTTCTTGCCTTCATTTATCTCTTATCTTTTCCTTTTTCTTCTTTAAATTCAACTCAATATTCTTCTCAACTCCAGAGAACCTATATATATATATATATATATATATATATATATATATATATATATATATATATATATATATATATATATATATATATATATATATATATATATATATATATAATATTTGTAATATCACAGCGAGTAGAAAAATTAAATTTTCTGATGTTTCGTGACTTAGTGTAGGCCACTTCTTCTACCCAATGCTCAATTTATTTGAAATTATCAGATCAAACCTTGCTAATGACACCTACTCCATAGAACCTGTTTAAATATGGTAAATATTATGTTCATTTTATTGAAACATGTGTATCACTGCAATTCTGAAGAAACTCGATATGGTTTCTTCACAACACTTATGCATCAATAAGGTGTTCGTGAATAATAATAATAATAATAATAGAGTTGCTAGACACACCTCCAGCTGAATGCACCAGATCACGATCTTATGAGCGCACAGTGAATCGTTCACAACAACTAGTCAGTTTGGATTACATACACATAAACAATTTGATCACTTTTTAAATACATCTATGATACACTTCACTTATGAATTCTGGTTTAGTTGGTTTTGGAGTCGTTAAAAAAGACTCTTCACACAACAAAGTTATCGAGCACTGTGTATATGTGACATCCTTAGACACTTCTAATGAGGAACTATTTCGACTGTATGGATAGTCTATAACAAGTTGTAAATGAGCCTAAATGCACTTTGTTGACTGAAAGATATGGGCGCTGGTGAAATGTGTATTTTGTTTCCTAATCACACAGAACTTCACCAAAGTACGTTACGCGATGAAGCAAACAAAAATTCGGTACGAACTGCATTTAGGATATGTATATTGCAAATGAGTTAGTGTTGGATGGTGGACAAGTAGTAAAAGCATGGAGCATTTGGTAGTACGCCTACTAGATGAATAGTAAGGTGACTCAGTAAAGTTTTTGCTCCAGTCGTTGATCCTTTTTCACATTGTTTTGAGCTTGATTTCGATTCAAGATGCGACATCTTCGAGTGTGCTCTTGAACTCAAATACTTGTGGCTAATAGAGTATGTATCGAATAATCCTGATAAATACTGTGACATGCTATAGTTACTGTGAAACAATTCGTTAAACAATCAGACATTAATTCGCTGAAGGCTACTTCGAACGAGAAAAAAATGAGGAGAATTCAGCAACGATTTCCTTTTCGTGGTGCATAGACTAAGGGACTCACATATCCACTTACATGAAAACAGTCATGGTTAACAAGAAATAATTAGTAAGATCAAAATACGACTAAAAAAGAATAAGTGAATTGGTCTTTTCGGGTGCTTGACTCTGTGCCATATACCAAAATTTAGAAGATATGAAGATA